AAAAAAAAAAATGAATGTGTAACTACCAGCATAATGTATAGTATTTTCTGACCAAAGCATATTACTGGCAAAATTAACATATAAAGAAACTGTATCAGCCCCCTTTCATCTCCCCTCACGTCAACCCCTTGGAAATTTCTGATCTTGTTTTATCACCTTTTAAAACAAAACAAAAATACTTTTCATGGCATACCTGTACATATGTGTGCTGTGTATAAAAAATTGTTTTCACTCAACAAAATAAATTTCAGATTTAGCTATGGAATTATACGTACTGGTAGTTTTCTGTTTACTTATAAGTGTTAATTCTTTAATTCTTTGCATAAATATCCCAATTTACTTATACCAGCAAAGACATGAGGGATATTCCCAGTTTGGGGTGATTATGAATAAAGCCACTATAAGAATTCTCTTACAAATTTTTATGTTAACAATAGTTTTGCTATACCTCAGGTGGGGTAATTAGGTCCTGTGCTGAATATATGTTTCATGTCATAAAAATGGTGTAGCCATTTTCCAAAGGAAATGTGTCAACTGCATTCCCAGCTGCCAAGGTAATTTCAGTTGTGCTGCATAATGTCCAGAAGGTGGCACTGGAGGATTTTTAATTTGCTTTGTTTGTTTTGATTTGAAACAGTAATTGTAATGGTTTTTCCTTGTGTTTTAATTTATATTTCCTTGGTGAATAATGATGTTGAGGAACTTTTCATATGTTTATTTACTATCCATGTTCTCCTTTGGTGAGGTAACTTCAAATATTTTGTCTGCCTTCTATTAAGCTTCTTTTTTTTTTTTTCAATTATTGAATGTTAACAGCTGTTTCAACTTTCAGGTACATGTCCATTATGAGATGTGTGATTTGAAAATATTATCTGTGATTATTTGGTTTGTCTGTGATTGTTGGTTTGTCTTTCCATTTTCTTTTACCCCATCTCTTAGACCATCACTCCCTTTCCTTTCTTCCTTCCCCTCTTGAAGTCAGAAACCATTCATTTTTGAGTGTCTCTATAACTATTTTGCTTTATCGATCACTATGATCACTTTTATTACTTATATGTATGAAAACATCTACTAGGTGTCTTTATCTTTTTTTTTTTTTACTTGTTTTACTATGCGTAATTCCTCAAACCCCTTCCATTTTGATGTAAGTGGTGACATTCTGTCTGTCCTTATAACTGGATAAGTATTTCATTGTCTGGATATAACACATCTTTTAATCCAAAACTCTATTAGTGGGTACTTCAACTGTTTCCACATTCTATTGTAAATAATGCTGCAATAGCCATTGTGTAGCATATCTTTTTACAAGTTGTGGTTTCACTTACCTTGGCTAGATGCCCATAAATGGGATTAATGGGTAGTATAGTGTTTCCAATTTTAGTTTTTTATGGTAGTCAAGATGGCTTTTCAAAATGGTTAAATCAGATTACATTCCCACTAAAAACATAACAGGGTTTCTTTTTCTCCTTAACATTCCCACTTATTGGGAATCCTTAGTATATACCATTCTTAGCAGAGTGAGATTGTATCTCATTATGGTTTTGAGTTGCATCTCCTATATTAAAAGTGATGTGGGGCCCTCCCTGGTGGCACAGCGGGTTAAAGCACTGCACTGAGAAGCTAAAGCCACTTCCGCATGAGTTCGATCCCTGCCTGCCCTGGAGGTGACCACAAGGCGTGGCAGACCTCTCCTGACCCGCCCACTGCTCCCCTCAGCGGTGTACTTCGTAGATCTGCCTGTTCTGCTCCCCACTCTGTCTCTGGTGAAGACTTTCGCCACCCCTGAGCCTCTGGCCTGTACCCCAGTTCTGTATGCACAAATAAATAAATCTTACAAAAAAAAAAAGTGAGGTGGACCGTTTTTCCGTATTGTATTCCCATAGAGCCTCTCTCTGGAGAATTATCTGTTCGTATATGTTACCCATTGATTGTTGTTTTTAAGTTAAGTTGTGGTTTTGTTGTTAAGTTGAATTAGTTCTTATACCTTAGATATTAACCTCTTGTTGGCTATATAATTTGTGAGTATTTTCCCATATAGTAGCATGACTTTTTCATCTATTTCTATTTTTTTCTTTCTCTATGTAAAATCTTTTAATTTAAGCAATCCCAATTGCTTATTTTTGCTTTTATTTCACTTGCCATAAAGGAACATATCCAAAAACATCTTTACCATTGATGTCATGAAATGCATTGTCCATGTTTTTTCTTCTGTATATTTTATTGTTGCAGGTTTTACATCTAAGTCTTTAGTCTAATTTGAATATTTTTTGTGTGTATGAAATTAGAAAGTGTTCCAACTTCATTTTTTAATATGTGTCTGTTCTGTTTTCAAGCACAATTTATTAAAGTCACTCTTTTCTCCAGTGGATGGTCATGATTTTTTTGTCATGCACTAGGCACTGATAGATGCATGATTTTAAATTCTAAATTTTTTTATTATGTTATACTGATCTCCATGTTTATTTTTATTCTAATACCACACTGTTTTAATCATTGTTACTTTATATTTATAATAGTTTAAAAGTGCATAACATGCGGTTTCCATTTTTCTCTTTTCTTTATGCTTACTTTAGCTATTTAGGCACTTATTATTCCATATAAATTTTATTATTTTTTTATTTCCTTGAAGAATATAATAGGAATTTAATGTGGACTAAAGTAAGTTTATATAATCATTTTGGTAAAATAGTCATTTTTGTTTATATTGATTGCCCCATCCAAACACACACTATATCTTTCCATAGCCTGATGTCTTACTCTGTATCTTTTAGTGCAAACTTGTATTTTTCCATTGTGTAAGTCTTTTACCTCCTTAGGTTAACTCCTAAGTTTTTTAATTTTCTTTTTATGTGATTGCCAATCATAATTTCTTTCTACTCTCACTCATTGTTTATACATAAAGGTGCACAATGAAAGGAACTATCATTAAAATGAAAGCATACATGAGTTGGAGAAAATACTTACAAATCATGCCTCTGACAAGTTACTAGTATCTTAAGATCTACAAAGAACTCACAGAACTCAACAAAAAGAGTATCAGAGAACCCCAGTGAGATTAGTAGGTTATACAGTAGACTCTAGTCATATATAATATTGCAAACTAATGTTATTTCAATAAAAAAAAACTTAAAATAACAGTAAGTAAATAAAATTTGATATAAGTTTAAAACCTCAACATATTTTCCAATTGATGGTTTGACCTACCATTTTATTGTGTTCATTTATTGTTTCTAGAAGCTATTTGGTATCTAGAAGTCTTCAGGATTTTCTACTTATGCTAACATATCATCTTAAGTAATAATTTCATTTCTTTTGTAATCATAGTCCTTTAATTTTCTGATTTCTCTAGGTAAAACTCTAAAATTAAACTAAAGAGAAGGGGTAAAAACATACATCCTTGCCTTGTTCCTGATAATAAAAGAAAAGCCCTCAGTTTTTCAGAATAAATATTATATTTTGGCTAAAAGTAGGTGATATATGATCATTCTTATATTGAGATAGGTTCCTTCTACTCCCATCTTGTTAAGAGTTGTAAGTAAATCAAGAAGCACACACACATATACTATATACTACTCAGCAATCAAAAAAGATAAACTCATGCCATTCACAGCAACATGGATAGAGCTGGAAGGGATTATGCTCTGTGAAATACACCAGAAGGAAAAAGAAAATATTGGATTTTTCACTTATAGACAGAATACAGGGAACCAAATAAGGGATCAGGATAAGATTATAATAATAAATAAACAAAATTAACAGGCAACTATAAATCAGAGACATTCCGTAGGGAAGGTAGGGGAAAGGATCAAAACAGGGAAGGGGACAGTATAAGGGACTATGGTGCACAGATAATTTGGCCTTAGGAATTTTACAGGAACTACACCTGAAAGGAAAGAGCATGCATTGTACAAAAATGAACACTGATGTAAAATAAACAAATTAATTATTAGAACAAAAAAAGAAAAAGTATATGACTGCAATTTTCTTTCATGGGTGGCTTTTTGCATATTACACCTTATGTATGTATGAGTGAAATAACATATACAATGTATTTATTACATAGATAAGCTATTTATAGAAATTCTCATGAAATAAAGGATACTTGAGCTATATAGTTAAAACATAACAAACTTGTTCATCTGGAGTTAAATTTGCTACTTTCAGATACAATTATTCAATATGAAGAATCTGTGTGAATAAACTAATTTTAAACAAAAAATTTTTGCTTTTTAAAATCCTGCAGAAAATGTTTTAGAATAAGTTCTTAACTTATATTACCAACCCTTTGATAAAAATTCTTAATAAAAACATAAGCTTCACAAGACAAATACCCTCTCTTTTTGTAGTAGTTAGGATTATGGGCTCTCGAGATACAAACTGTGGGTTCAAACTACATACCCTACTAAATCCAAGAGTTCCAAGGTGATTCAACTTCATGAAATATTAATATCCTCAATGGTAAAGGGCTGATAATCATAGAAATAAATTTTAGCAATCTTTATCATCTGGTAACAAGAAAGAGGCTACAAGGCCTGAAAAATGTACTAATGACTAATCAAATGTGAAGTCATAAATAAATAACAATCTCCTAAATTAAACTACATCATAATCACAGATCTTTGCTTTCTAGGAATACTGAAACATCGTTCTTACATGAAAAGATAGGCGATATCATGAGGTCTTAGGGTAAGATAGGACTTTTTCCATTCTAGAAATGCATGTAATAATTCATCTGCCTCTCCAACTGTAGAAATCTTATTTTTATCTGACCACAACTCCAATGATGACAGCACAATAGTAACTTTAAATTGGGCAAACAGCTAAAAACAGAAAAGACAAGTACCAGAAAAATTAATCTTTGTTAATAATTTATAAAAATTAAGAAATGTCCAGTATTTTCACAAATGGAAACTTAGCTTATATGAATGACTATTATTCAGAAATGCCAAATCAAGTTAAAGAAAAAAATAATTTCAAACTATTTGTGAAGTTTTCTAATTAGTAGGAAATGGAAACTACTTACGGAATTTACAAGGCCAATAATTTCAATGACTTTGTTTGTTACAATCATGCCATCAGAGCCCAAGAAATCATACTGAAAACAAAATAAATTTTAAATTTAAATACAACTTCTTATGTAACATGTTTGAGATTTATTTTTCATCTACTCTCAGAGATTTAAAGCTGAGCTTAAAATGAGCCAGTAACAAATTTAAAAATGGATATAAATTGGATCACTCATACATGCTGGTAGCTATGTTCTCTCTGTGACATTTGAGAAAGTTCAGAATATTTAAGATCTTTTCTAGTTAGGGATAATCATACAGTTACACCAAATATTTAAAAACAAAGAAAAAAACTACACATACCAAAATTTTGTCCACCACAATATGCATTTCTAGATAAAGTGGAGTTAAATCTGAAACAGCTGGCTCTGGCTAAAGAAAAGAAAAGCAGCATTTAAGAATATAAAAACTTTCACAAATTATTTACTTGAATTTTTAAAATCTTTCCCACCTTTCCTGAAAGTGTAATTCACAAAAATTTATATATATTTAAAATATAGGACTTGATATGAAATTAATGCCAAATCAAGCTAATTAATATACCATTACCTCACAAAGTTACCTTTTTTGTATGGCAATGTAGGGTAAGATCAAACTCTGTTAGCAAATTTTAGTTTATAATTCAGTACTGTTAGCAATAATCATGTTACTACTCACTAAATCTCCAGAACTTTGCATAAATGAGACTTTGTACTTTTTCACAATTATTTCCCCATTTCTTCTTGTCCCCAGCTCCCAATAACTACCATTCTACTCTGATGGATGAAGTTAACAGTTCAAACACCACATATAAGTATAATCAAGCAGTATTAATCTATCTCTGGTTTATTTCATTTACTATAATGTCCTCTGGTACACAAACGTCAGGATTTCCCTCACTTTAAAGGCTAATATTCCTGTAGGGTGGGGACAGGACACAGTTTGTGTTTTGAGTAGCAAACAAAGCAGACTATCATTTACAAGGTTAATTCTGCACTGCCAAATTCTCTGCTTTTCTACTGTATTTCACACATTCAGTCTTTGCTGTCATAATCTCACAATGCAAGAGCATTTTTTTTCTTGCATCTGTAGTGGAAGCCTTGGCAGCAAACAACTGCTCCAGGTTTGTCAGCTACATGTATTATAAAACATTTTCTGTCATTCATCAATGGACATTTAGGTTGTTTCCCTATCTTCACCAAGGTGACAATATTTCATTGAACACAACAGGGGGAATATCTCTTCCAATGTTGAAACACACACACATACCCAGAAGTGGGATGGCTGGGTTGTTGTTGTTGTTTTGGGTCTTTTTTTTTAAGGCACCTACATAATGTTTTCCATAGTGGCTGTACCAAACTACATCCCCACTAGCAATGCACACGGATTCACTTTTCTGCACATCTTTGCCAACACTTGGGTTTCTTGTTTTTGTTTTTGTTTTGCTAACAGCCTTCCTGACAAGTGTAAAGCATTATCTCACTGTGATTTGGTTGGTGATTTGCATTTCATGATGATTAGTGATGTTGAGCACCTTCTCATGTACCTTTGGTCATTTTTATGCCTACTTTAGAAATATATCTAAGTTCTTTAGTCATTTTTTTTTCATTCTTTGTCAAATCACTTATAAAGAACTTGAATTTATGCTATTGAGTTATATGAGTCTCTTATACTCATGGATGGATACTAATCTTTTATCAGATATATGGTTTACAAATATTTTAATTCTTATGTTGCCTTTTTATTTTGTTGACTACTGTGCTGTACAGAAGCTTTTAAGGTTGATACTGTCCCATTTGTTTATTTTTACTTTTGCAGCTTATGTTTCTGGGGTAAATTTTTTCAAAACCACTGTCCAGATCAATGTCAAAAACTTTTTTACCTATATTTTCTTCTACGAGTTTTACTCTTTCAGGCTTTAACATTTTAGGTCTTTATTTTACCCCAGCCTTTACAGGATATGCTAGTGTTTGCTTTTACAGCAGGTTAATATCAATATGTAGTTGATAAATTTCATAGCAATTTAGTCAAGGAATAAGAAAATCAGTTGTAAAGTTCATTAGTTGCACAGGTTTGATTTTGTGACGTAAGATAAAACAACTGGTATGTATAATCGTTTTTTTACATGTATACTAGAAATGAACTAAATGTCCATTCTAAAAAATAATTTAGGTGTGGATGATAGGAAAAATGCTTATGTTTTGCCACTTCTTCCTGTATCCATGTCTTTGCATGTGTCTCCCAGTAAGATATGAATCTATTTCTTCTCTCTTAAATACAGGCTGAGTCTTGTATGAATAATTCACATTCAATAATAAATGCATCAGAATGGTATGCTCATTGTGAATATGAATCAGGAAGTATTGTCTACTACAACCCCGACACCTATAGCCCTATATAATACTGTACCAGCCTGAACCAGCCTTCTAGATTTAAGAAATAAGTGGCCCATTCACACCCGTTGTCCCAATCAGCCCCAAGGACCACCATGGGAAGGTGCAGGAAACAGATGCCCATTGTAAGCTAAGAAGATAAACCACAGAAGAAATCAAACAGCCGAGACCTTGATTTCAGAATTCTATCTCCAGATCTGTGTGGTTTAAACTACCCAGCATTTAACACTTTGTTAAGACGGCCATTAAAAGTAGGAAATCTGGCCCTCCCTGGTGGCGCAGCGGGTTAAAGCACAGCACTGAGAATCTAAAGCCACTTCTGCATGAGTTCAATTCCCGCCTGACCCGGAGGTGACCACATGGCATGGCAGACCTCTCCTGACCCGCCCACTGCTCCCCTCAGCAGTGTACTTCGTCGATCTGCCTGTTCTGCTCCCCACTCTGTCTCTGGTGAAGCCTCTCACCGCCCCTGAGCCTCTGACCTGTACCCCAGTTCTGTATGCACAAATAAATAAATCTTTTAAAAAAAAAAAAGTAGGAAATCTTGCCATGTGAAACTACAATAGATCTTAGAGCATTATGCCAAGTGACATAAATCACATAAAGAAAAAAACAAATACTGTATTATCTCATACGTAGATGTTAAACAAATAAAAAACAATGAATTCATAGAAATATAAAACAAATTGGTGGTTGCCAGAGGCCAGCGGAAATAAGTGATAGTGGCCAAAAGATATCAGTTCCCTGATATAAAAAACCAAGTTCAGGACATATAATGTACAGTGGCACCTACAGTTAACAACACACTGATGTATATTTGAAAGTTTGTAACAATAAATCTTTAAAATTCTCATCACAAGAAAAAGATAGTTGTGAAGTACAGACATATATCAAGTCATCATGTAGTGTACTTTAATAAAAAATTATATAAGGCAATTACACCTCAATAAAACTGGAAGAAATATTTATATATAAATAACTTTTTTCAAAGAGTCACAGATTCTACATAAGGAAAGCAAAAGCATATTCAAAGACTGGGGTGCACCACTCTTTTGTCTAATATCCACAAAAATACGGTAAAAGAGCATCTAAGGGAAACTGGAAATAGCACCAATACTATCCACAATACTTGGTAATCTAAGCAATTGTAAATTATCCCCATAAATTTTTAGAGGGAAAAGGAAATTTTAGTATTTAGTCAACTAAAAATTTTAATTAAACATATATGTGTGATAGTATTGAGTATCTTGGTGCTACATGGATATTACATAGTCTATTTTAATCCTGTATTATTTAGCCTATAATGTTGGAAACTATACTAAACACAAGAATAACAATGGATCAAATAAGACTGGAATTTTTTTCCTCTCATAAAAGTCTGACAAGATTATCAGTCTTTATAAATTCTCCCAAGTAACGTTCATCAACCTCATTGGTCTGTAACATATGGTATTTTCCTCATCCTGTGGGCTATCATGTGCCAACATATCCTCACTGCAGGGAATAGGAGAAAAAATAAGCTCCCTTCCTTCAGAATTTAATTCAGACACGACACACATTTACATATGCTCCCACGTAGTTAGCCAAAATTTTGTCCCATGGCAAGGGAAGTAAAGAAATGAATTCTTCTTTTACCTAGGTGAGTTATGATGGATTTTGTTTGTTTTCTTGTATACTGACAGAAGATGGGAGCATATTTACTGGAATAACTAAGGTTATACTCCCTATATAAATTATGCCACTTGCCATAAAAATTGTGAAAAAAAAATCTTTCACAATTACTTTTATGAGACTCTACACATATACAGAACAATTGGTATGGCCAAAAGTGACCAGCTTTAATTATACTTATAATTTAACTAATTCTGAGTAATTAGTTACTAATGAAATCTTTGTAAGTAATGGTTTTATCAAATTAAACTTCCAGACTATAATGACAAAAGTAGGAACTGAAATTTTTTAATTTATATTGAATATACACACTTAATTTTTAGAAAGTTGTAAGCATGTAACTGTAAAATAAAAATTAAAAAAAATCATCAGAAAAAGATATTAAAGTTTTTAGTGGCAATCATAATGTAGTATATATACAGATGTTAAATTTAATGTTGCACAAGAAAAACCTATATAATGGTATAAACCAATGTTACCTCAAGTTTTAAAAGGTCATTATCAATCTGATAAAAAAAAGAGTAAATGATTGATTGTGATAAAGAGAAAACTAGTGGTCCACGGTTTAAAAGAAGCTGTAAGGTAAACAAAAGCTAAGACTATTCTCAAGGAAAGTTTATCAGTATGCAATAGCTTAATAAATTTCTTTTTAAACTACACTGAATAAAAACAATAGCTTCCTTGAAATCAGCAAAACATACACAGCTCACCTTTCCACTTATAAAAATGTTGTAGTCCATTGGGTTTTGCTCCATCCCTTGGTCATTTAGAGTAAGAATTGCAGAGTCGTTGTTTTCGTTTCTTAATTTATAAAGAAGATGCTGAAATTCAACTTCAGATTCCAGAGGCTCGATTACATATGATGCATTTTCAAATTGCAGTATTCCTCTGTAAAATTAAGAATGAAAATGAGAGTGATGTTCCTCAATTCTATATTATAAAACTCTAAGAAGATAAAAGAGAAAGGTGAAGGGTGGAGGATGAGGGCAGAAACAAAGAAGGTGAAAGAAACAGAACATAGTTGAGTTATTCTGACCCAAACTCTGTTTTGGAGGCTCTAAAGGGACAAGGATCACCCCAGTTCACAAAACTAGCTTTGTTTTATTTTCTCTATTGTTATAAATGCAACATAAACATAAATTATGCAATCAACTGCCAGGTGTAGAAGTATACAGCATTATAGTGATCAAATAATTCCCCTGGCCTCCCAAGTCAATGATTTACTAAAAGCAATAGTAAATAGAAAGCATCATAAATTTTGCTCTACATTGTATTGTATTGTATTTATTTTAATCACGCTTACATTGCTTGTATAACAAAAGGATATATAAGGAGCTATTTTATTTCTAAAAATAAAATTTGGCAGTAAATAGAAGGCATTTATTTGTTTTGTATCATCTCAATAAGGAATTAAAAGCAAGATTTTAAAGAGTAAACAACTTTTGTAACTACTCATCCCTTAATCAATTGTATTAGTTCATTTGTTTGTAAAAACAAGGATCCCAGACTGCAAAGTACAAGTGAAAACTTTCCTTACAAAGTGAAAAATTCTAATATTACAGAGTAAAACCTACAATTCTTAGGGAGTTTAAGACAGTGATATTATTTTTAAAAACATGAGTATAGGCCTTCCCTGGTGCCGCAGCAGGTTAAAACACAGCACTAAGAAGTTAAAGTCACTTCAGCATGAGTTTGATCCCTGCCCTGGAGGTGACCCACATGACGCTGCAGACCTCTCCTGACCTGCCCGCTGCTCCCCTCAGCAGTGTACTTCATCAGTCTGCCTGTTCTGCTCCCCACTCTGTCTCTGGTGAATCCTCTCACTGCCCCTGCACCTCTGGCCTGTACCCCAGCTCTGTAGGCATAAATAAATCTTTTTTTAAAATGACTATAATATTAATAATGGTTTACAGAGAAATTTCTTTTTTCCTCTACTACTGATTTTCCTTTAGAAAAAGCATACCTTTATCTGTATCATTTTATCTCCAAACACTGATGTAAGGCTAATAAAAGGTAGATATCTAAAATACTTGCTGAGAAACAAACCATACTAAACTTATCTTCTCCAACTGGCTGTACTCAGGTCTGTTTAATTGTCATTTCTATAGTTAAGAAAAAACAACATATAGACCAAGGAGACCAGGAACTCTAACTCTTCAAAAAAAAATTAGAAGTGTTTCTAGTTTGTAAGGAAAGTGAAGAGAAATAAAAGAAGACCTTTAGAGGAGTCTGTCTCACATAGAAATCCTCTTCTAACTCCACTCTTAATATAAACATAATAAATTTACTTAAGCTAAATCTTATAATTGTAGTGTTCACTTATTGATGGTAAAAAAAAATACATATATAACCTCAGTCCAGAGCATGTATTGAGTGTGGCAACAGAATTTGGATATCCTTCAATATATCCTTGGTAGTAGCACTGAGTCTGGGAAAGAAAAGAAGCAAAGCAACTTAGCAAGAATAATAAAATTAGAGAAATGCATAATCATGATAAAAATTTTACATATACATTTCTGTTGGTAACTGATAAACCAAGCTTTTAAAATCTATAGCCAATTTGGACAGTATATAAATAACCTATCACATCTAGAACACCTTATTTTAAAACTATGGACTATACTCCTTTTTCAAAGAATAGGAACATTTACAAAAATGAAACTTCAAGGCTTCCCTGGCAGCTCAGGGGTTAAATCTCAGCACTGTGAAGCTATCCTCAGCCATTGTAGCATAAGTTCCATCCCCAGACAGGAAGGTGACCCACATGGCACAGCAGTCCTCTCCCGTCTCACCCGCTGCTCCCCTCAGCAGTATATTTCAGTCAATCTGCCTGTTCTGCTCCCTACTCTACCTCTGATGAATTCTCTCACCCACTTCCTCTCTTCCCCACACACCTATTGTATGTATAAATAAAATAATTTTTTAAATGAAACTACATTATGGGCCATGATGCATAATAATAAATTTTAAAGTCCTAAAATCATACAACCTTTGATCTTTGACCACAATACAAATGAACTAGAGAGACAGCAAGCATCATCATAGAAACAAACAATAAAAACCCAGAAAGGCTACATCTAGATTCACTGAAACTATAAGTTTTGGTGGAAATCAATGTAAGAATTCTTATTAACACATGTTTTACATTGTTTTATGTAGGAAATAAAAGTAGGCGGAATAAGGAAATGAAACTAAGGTCCCATCCAATATGGAGTAAAATAATATGGAGTCCAGTTCAATTTTTCAGTAAATGTTTAGTGTATACTATGTTCTAGACATTTTTCTAGGCAATAGGGATACATCCAGTGAACAAAACAGACCAAAAGTTCTTCCCTTGTGAAAATTATATTGCTGTGGGGAAACAAAATAAATAACTGATGTATATATAGCACTTTGTGCACTGATAACTACTGTAGAGAAAAACAAAACAGTTAAGGAAAATAGAGTACAAAGTACAATACTGCAGTCTATCCTGAAGGTTAGCCAATTTCTAATTAATCAGGTGATTTTGAACCTTTAGAAAATAAAATAGAAAAAGTAAGGATCAGTAAAGAACAAGAATCTGGATTAAAAGCAATAGGAAGGGACCTCCCTGGTGGCCCAGCACTAAGAAGCTAAAAACCACTTCAGCATGAGTTCGAACCCCACCCTGGAGGTGACCCACATGGCACTGCAGACCTCTCCTGACCTTCCCACGCTCCCCTCAGCAGTATACTTCATCAGTGGGCCTGTTCTGCTCCCCACTCGGTCTCTGGTGAATCTTCTCACTGCCCCTGCACCTCTGGCCTGTGCCCCAGTTCTATGTGCAGAAATAAATAAATCTAAAAAAAAAAAATTAAAAAGCAATAGGAAGGGCAACATCTATAAAAGATAAATATGTATGGTACATTTGAAAAATGGTAAGGTCACAAATGTGGAACAGAGTAACCAAGGTAGAAAATAAAAAATAAGGTCAGAGAGGTAAAACAAGAGGAGGTTATATAAAGATTTTAGGATATTAAAATGACTTTGGGTTGCACACTA